TTGAAAATTATTTGTTTAAAGCGATAATTCTAATTCATCCAATACGCAATGCTATTGTGACTAATTTTATATATCTATGTACAAGGAGAACACACGGAGTTGCCAAGCCTCCTCATCCCCAACTTTACCTCTACCACAATTCCACTAACATCCTCACCCTACAGGAACGAAACTGATCTTCGACCCTACTTGCACAGCGTATAAGACACTTTATGTTTGGCGATATTTTCCGCGTTCATCTCAACTTCTAAAGCGTTAAGCAATACGCCCTCCACACAGAAAATGTCTCGAACACAAACAGTGTCTCAATTCTTCAGTCCCTGTGGGTCGGATCGATAAATAACTGATCACATATTCATAGTTCTCTGGTTGAAATTACGGAATACTAGCGTGTTGCGGTACATTTGTTTCTGTGCCAAATTTTATGTCTGCATGGAACATAAACTTCCCATTATCGGCGATAGTGCTTTACTAGATAGAAGTCTGGTCTTAATCCTGCCTCATGTTCACAAATAAATATTTCAGAACCACTCAGCCCATAAAGCATCAGGTGTTTTTATCTTTTTACGAGGTACCCTGATTGGTATAGCATACCACAAGATTATCTCATTCTCCTCATTCCGCCGTATTCCGAGATAATCCAAGCGGAAATGCAACTAATGTAGATAACAAAATATATTAATTAGTTTTATGCCGTCCCAAAAGTATCCTTTAGCGTGATAATGGACAAATAACGATCCTAATCATACCACACGTGCATTCCAATAGCAGACATCATACTATAGGCTTAACTTACATAATAGAATGATTCGACTTCGAGGCATACTACTTTGTAATAAGCATACTTTTATTCCGAGTCTCGTTATACTATATTTTTATGTAAAGGTAGATCAGTACCAGGAACATATTTCATAAAAAAAAACAGACACATACACACACTTAAAATTTTGACAGCGATGATTAGTAAGTATGCTATGTTACATACATATACACTGTATTTAAACAGTCAGGCTTGCACAGTGGCCAAAATTGCCTTATAAGGATATATGGTCCATCAGCTATGGTCATCCAGTATGTACTGGTCATCCAAGGTGAGTAATCGTTCAGATATATCTGACTAACAACTCGTAGATACAAGTGTGACTAATTCCAGTATTGATCTATACTACCGTACGCTCTTTGGCACTACTAGTATAGATTACATGTAGAAACACACTATCATGAGTAACTCTATTGCGAAGTAAAGTTTATATATGTGACTTAGAGTAAGCGAGATTTTACAAGGACACATTTTTTCATGTCATATTTCCCAAGAGACTCCGAATACTGATATCTGGGATGGTATCAAGTTTCAGTCAAACTAGACCCCTTGGCCGAGCCCATCTATAAACAGATGTTTCTAGTTCAGTACGTAAAATTTACACTTTCTCTACTCAACCATTGCTTTTTGTATTTATCACAAACATACATTCAAGTGGCAGACATGTTTTGAATTAATTAACCTATTTCACAAATAGTGAACAAATTGTATAACGTCATTTGCTTGGCATGTTGAAATGCGAATGGGAACATTTTAGCGTTTACGCGAGGAAGGGTGTTGGGGAGGGATAGGAGTGATAAGACTGGGGAGGGGGGAAGGCACAATCGGGGAGGGGGTAACGTAGGGGGAGGGGAGTGAAAGGGAGAGGGTTATGTGTTATGGACAAACAAACGCTCTACCATCTGTGAACCTTTAACCACATTTTCCCTTTCATTGCATAACTAAGTTTAGGTAAAAAAAAGTGTTTATATATTTGGTCTCCATGGTGACAGTATGAGACGCTGTGTGGATCGCTAACAAAATCATCAAAACACATGACAGAGTTTTTGGCCTTTTCGTTTTATGGCGACGCGAGGCTCCAAATGGGTTTTTATTAATCGTGTTGCAGCGATGTGATAAACAACGCGTATACAGCTTCTTCTGTAAGACTGTTTATGGGCTCTCTGTGTATTTGGTCAAAGGGTTCGACGCTGACGGTCATTAGAAGGTTTTTGTCAAATGTTAACCACGGTATCAACTTTAGTTTAGTCGCGGGGAAAACATCATTTTTATGGAGGGCTATGAATGACCTTGAATCGTAGACAATTGTTTTTTGTACATAAAACAAACAGATATTGAAAGGAAACATGGCAAAAGTATAATTTGAATTTCTGTTCCGACTGGGCGTCAACCCCCTTGATTCGGTGCGTATTTTGTAGAATTGAAAAGCTACAAACCTCCATCGATAACACCTACATTCGTACATGTCACTGGAATTTTTACGCGTAAAATATGTAAATGTATACAAAAATGAAAACTGAAGTGTCTGCCTTGCATTATTGTTTGTATAAAGTATATTTTCTATAAATATACGACTTAACTGGAGATAGTAATCAACATGTGACAATGACGTTGATATGACCCACTGCGCGGTCATGTGTTCTCAGATTCAGCCATCATGTGATGTTCAATAAAAAAAAACATGTTGTACTTTACTCCCATGCATTTAACTACACAACATTATACTTCTGTTAACAACACTGCTGAAGCGGTGCACATCACACACTACATTTCCCCTAAACAGGGACCTGCGAATTTAGACACGTTATCATGTGTCTCAAACACATAAAACGTTATGTTTTACAAACGTTTCCTGTTGTGTAGAGATTTTTAATAAACGCTTTATGATTTAATATCAACCCTAGACAAAATAATTTCACACTAGCCCGATAGAAACCCATAGGTGGCCTGGGTAGGCTCTGTGTCGGGTGTGAATACATTTTCACATTACACTCTAATACAATAGACCATCACTTAGGGAGAGGGGCCCCTGTTAGTGTTGGTACTATGGGAGAGGGGCCCCTGTTAGTGTTGGTACTATGGGAGAGAGCCCCTGTTAGTGTTGGTACTATGGGAGAGGGGCCCCTGTTAGTGTTGGTACTATGGGAGAGGACCTATGGATACTATGGGAAAGGCACTTGCGTTACTATGGATACGATGGAAGAGGGGCCTGTGAGTCGATGGGTACTATTGGAGAGGGGTTTGTGTTACTATGGTTACTGTGGAAGACAGGGTCTATATCACTATGGGAAATATGAGAGAGGCATGAGCGCGTACGTGACAGCAATTTTACGCATAATATACTATGGGGAAGAAGCTTGTGTTGCTATGAACATTATGACAGATTTGTATGTGTCACTATGGGTACTATATGAGAATGACATGTCTTGGTTCATGTACACGTGGCCGCCAATTTACACTCTCATCTGCGCCAAGCGTTATTTCGTCTGTCGTATCAGTAGCTCAAACAATTCCCAATGACTTATCACGTTACAACAGACTAAAACAAAGTTCCAGGCGCCGTCAATATGTCGGTGATATAAGTGTAAGGAACCACGTTCTGACAGGATATACCGTGAACTGTCGGAATGAAGAGCGGTATATATTATATATACTCTGTATGTAAGGAAATAAACTGCGGTTTTATTGACCCCCTCCTCCGAAACCTTAGGCCGATTTCCCCGACTAACGCCTATCCCTCGCCCCGTTTTCCAAATATCTCATCATCTCTTATACATGCGGTAATTACCGGCTACATAATGTCTTTTGACCGACTTGTGTGTGTCCTTAACGGCTGAGTAGCTACCACGCGTGTGTCTGTGTATGTGTGTGTTATGTACACTAACATGCCTGCAGCCATGTCACTCCGCGGGTAATTGATATCAATGGCTATCTGACAAGGAAAATAACACCACTCAACCGAAACCACGCATCGTCTACCCCCGGGCCATCCTTAAACACAGTAACACCGCTCTCCATCGATCTGATCGCAGATATGGGGTTGTTGGGAGATAAACAGATTTAAACGGAAATCGTTTCCACGATATACTGTTTTTTCGCCAATAAATCACTAATTGTATGTTCGGTTAAGTTGCAAACTTCTCCGGCTAAATTATGAGCATTCATTATTGTGTAATTGTTAATTTCAATGCAGGCACAATGAAACAATAATACGAATTGATTTTTCTTTGTGTGAATGCTGATAAATTATGTCGCTAAGTTGTCTAAAGAAAAACATATTTTAGTTATTTAATACCAAACGCGAAATCTCCCAAACGTGCCTCCCAGCTGGCGGGGGCAAAAAGCAACGTGCATTTCGCTGCAGGGTCCAAATAGCATTGACATGAATATGTCAGTCAGACGAGTCACATAAACATCGCGATGTGTGTAAATTAGAAAAATATTTACCCAGGCATGTAACAGAAAAGATCCTATATGGTATCAAATCTAAATCCCCCTTCGGTGCCCCAGATTATAATGCAGATGACATGCATATTGTGGTACGGCGCCTGAGTCAGAAAATCCAAGACTTAGCCGGCGCATGAGCCGGTCGGCTGCGGTGACTTCATCGCTCCCATTGAATCATACGTACTGCAAAACCTCATTTACTCCGTCACAATGGCAGTCAATAATACATGCTAAATACGTCTAATTCCATTCAAGACGGTCGCTTCCGTGTAATTATCAAAGATTATATATAATAAAGTTATTTTTAAAATAAATTTTACAACAAAATTGGGAGTGTCATTAATTTTAAATGATATCAAAAATTATGTCCTCTTTAATATGTAAATGAGATTACACATGTTAGAATATATTATGCTTTTTCATTTTTCTGAAATTCTTCAATATATCTCTACATTTTCTACATTTTTTAATTTCCGACCAAAAAAATTGAAACGAGTACCGGCGGCCGCCGCGTATAACAGTATAAGCAGCGGATTCCCTGCAGCTTTTCAGTATCCAATCTCGTCTAACAGCCGGTTAAAATCAAACGACAAAAATCCCACTTACCTTTATCCGTAGACTGTCTGTCTTCTGTCATATTTATAAAACAACATTCACAGAATATTTTGTTCAAATTCCATAATTTTCCACCGCTTAGAATGCCTAGAAAAGTAAATTTGATATTCGTACTTACGGGTCGTTTCTGATACAGCAGCCATAGTTGACATAAGAGATCATTCGAATGAGAAAAGCCGGCGTCTGCTTCTGCTGAGAATCGAAAGCGAGGCCAGACCAGCTGAGTCACACCCTGGATAAATTGACATACGTTTTGGCGGAGATGAAGGGAAGTAACTCTGACTGTTCGTCTGGGATGTGGATAAAATATTCAAATGTATTTTTTCTGTTGCACCTGTTTGACAAGACAAGCTAATCGAGAAGAAAATACGACGCATTTATGTGCAATACACGAGAAATTGTTGCATAAACAAAATATAAGTGAAGAACTAGGTTTTTATTTTTAGCTGGCGGAATGCCACATTATGTATAATATTTTGTATACACTGCACTTAAGCTCTGAGGCCACACAATGCAATAGGTAAACACTTTCATTGTTTGTTGTTTATCGTTATTATTACAATGCAGTTGAGTGGATTTTAGAACAAATGCATCACTATGGAAAATCAAATGTCTTTTGTGACCCATAGCAAATTACCTTGATTGGTAGCATACCAAATCGTTAACTGTGTTGTTAAGTATGTAAAACATGATCAGTGAGTTTATTGGAAAAACAAAAACGTTTCATCTTGAACCTGGCATATTTAAACCAGTCAGATATAAAAATAAAAATAAATTAGACCTGTAAACAACATACAACAGCCTTAGACTCTCTTTAGATGAACCAGTCAATCAAAAACCAGATTATAGTCAGATTCCTCACACTAGTATATAAGTGCATTGCAAAGTAACGTTATTAAGAAAACAAAAAAAGGTTTAAGTAGTGTAGTAAGATTGTTTTCATCAGAAATAAAAACAATATACATATCTACAAATAACATATCAATTATAGTTGTAAAATTACTAATATATAGATGTATTTACATGAAATTACAACAAGAAAGATCATTTGAATACTAATGTTACTACTGACTTATACAGCATGTGTGTGTATTAAGAACCACTGTGATTTGAACAAATATATCAGGGTTACATATATAACAATAATGTGTTATGAGATCATTTGAATAAGCATTTATGTAATAACCAAATGATCATCAGAATTTCCATAATGTTTGAACAATTATTAATATATATGTGAAAATTAAAAAATAACAAGAAGAGCGATTGCCTTGGTTTATTCTGGTAAGTTTCCAATTTTCATATATATATTGTCCTGTCACTTGGAGATCAATTTCGTTTTTTTATTTTTACATTTTACTGAACATATATAAAGAACATGTGTGTAAATATGATAATGAAGATGGCAATGATGATGATGATGATAATAATAATGATTAACATTATAACATGAGTATGGTGACTGAGTTTTAAGTGATGATGATTAATTTGCTATTATGACACATTCTATGATGAGGATGATGACTGTGAGGTCATTCTATTGTGGTTATGATGATGATAATGATGATGTCATTCTCATGTTATTTGGTGATAATGATGATGTCATTCTCATGATATGATGATAATGATGATGTTATCATTATTTTGTGGTGTTGATGACGATGACAATGACGATGGAGGGACGGATGGATGATATGATGATGATAACATTTCTATATGCTGTTTTGATGATGATAATGAGGATGTTGACAATGGTGAGGATGATGAGCGTTTTGCTGAAACATGAGTAGTTATAATTGTTTGTGTGAGAGAGTGCAGTGTACTGAATGCCGTACAAAGTTTCGTGGCTGAATGCCTTACAAAGTTTCGTAGCTGAATGTCGAACAAAGTTTCGTAGCTGAATGCCGTACAAAGTTTCGTAGCTGAATGCCGTACAAAGTTTCGTAGCTTGAATGTCGTACAAAGTTTCGTGGCTGAATGCAGTACAAAGTTTCGTGGCTGAATGCCGTACAAAGTTTCGTGACAGAATGCCGTACAAAGTTTCGTGGCTGAATGCCGTCCAAAGTTTCGTGGCTGAATGCCGTACAAAGTTTCGTGGCTGAATGCAGTACAAAGTGCATGTGGCTGAACGCAGTACAAGAAATCTTATGTGTATCATCAAATGTGGACAGCATGACACGAATTAGGTATTGCTATGTTAATTAAGGACACACTCTGTAATCTATGCTGTAATGTGGATGATGTTTCATCACACAAGTATAAGATACTACCATACGACAATACCGGAAATAAATGAGACAAAAAAACAAAAGTTTAAAGCATGGTGTAAACACACAAGGTAAACACAGTTGGAAACCCACACCAATGAGTCACAAACACACAAGGTAAACACAGTCGGAAACCTTCACCAATGAGTCACAAACACACGAGGGCATAGTTATGGTCATGGTCGCCACAAAAGCAACAGAAAATGAGGGGTAATCAAAACCGATGGGCAGAGATGAATTCCACAAAAAACGGTGGATAAATAAAGTTTCTCTTGAAATGTTAATATCTTCTGCTCCTTATGTGGCGCTTTGTCTAATGTTGCATTGGACACCCAGTAAATGGATCAGCCAAAGCATAGGCGATATAATACAAGTAGTACATGTTTAACAGTATAACATATAACAAAATAACTATCATGATGAAGGCTATAAAATAGGTTCCTCATAGACCGAAGCCACTTCGATGGTCAGAGGATAATTAGTGACGTGCCGTAATTTTGTCACGCTACAGAGTTAATCAGATCTTCAGTGAGTAATATTAATACAACTATATCTGTCCATGCTGTTAAGATATTAAAGTTTGATTTCAGCCTAAAAGTTTTTTTATGTCATCCCCAGGTTAAATTCTGCCGTTACATTTTTTCGGGCCAATAAACGTATCATGATTACTTTTTTAAGAAACGGATAATCATATTTATATTACCAACATATGTGGTGGATAATTTTCTACGGGTATACATAATTTCATATATATGTAACGAAAATGGAAGTAATGCACTTTCATAAATAAAGAAAAAAGGTAAATAACGCTATTTCTCATGCTTAAAGCAGGCCAGGTAGTAGCCAAATAATCTTTCCATGTCAAACGGTTTAATATTATACGATCATTTACTTCTTCTCTCTTCACAAATATAAACTCATATTTTCTATTTCTTATTTTAACAGATGGAGAAGAGCCTACATTTCACCGTTTTCTATTCATTTGTAACATATGCAGACTTGATATTCTCAGCAAAGCGTTTGTGGAATTCGATGGCTAAGTATTAGAACTATCAGTATTTTAATGCGGACAAACTGTACAAAACTCCTAGTCGATCTGTACATCCATAAACCAGATTCAGAGTCTTTATCAACCTGCGTCTGTCGAAACCTTGTGTTGTAAGTTTGTCCGTCGGTAGTCGATATCCATCACATGAAGACACATTTAAATTCTTCGAATTCAAAGATGGGAATGATTCATTATGGTGAATGAGTTTATCGCCCATGAATGCAGAATCACCTTCGACATGTAAACACGGTTTACGTTGGAACTGCATAACCACAGTCTACTTCTCTCAGCGGCATATCTTGTAATTCATTTATGACATCATTGGTCACATCACTTCAAATTTGATGGTCAAAGTCTACTCTTACTCTGCATATGATTTACTGACTGTGACTATGCTTCATTTAATATGAGAATAATTGTATGTGTGTTGGATGCATGACTGTGACTTGTTTGTGTATTGTTATTGTGATGTCCTATGAGTTCATCCCCGGTGTGTTTATCATGTTGGAGTTATCTTTCCTGATCATTTAATTAGTATCACTCTTTATACATGTATTTATATGTAGAGCCACTCACGGAAAAAAATTACATAGGCTTGCCTGTTCTTCAATCCATTTGACCATTACATCTGTCAATAAGATTTGTTGAAATGAAATGAATCTGATGACAAACGCTATGACTTTAATTATATTATCATAAATTGCGTTTCCTCAGTAAACAAATACGTTCCATTGTCTCGCGGCTTTGAATGCCACATGTCGAGGATATTCTATGTTTTAAGAATGTGTTGTCATCACGTTCAAGTTTCCAACTGGATATTGTCTTTGATGACAATTTTTTACAACATTGTACTATTATGTTTGATGGTTATTCAAAACTCTAAGTATTATTCAATACTAGTTATTCAACATTAACAAACATGGCGCTACATATAGAGGCGAAACATATTCAATACTAGTTATCAAAAACATTAACAAACATGGACGCTACATATAGAGGCGAAACATATTCAATACTAGCTATCAAAAACATTAACAAACATGGCCGCTACATATAGAGGCGAAACATATTCAATACTAGTTATCAAAAACATTAACAAACATGGACGCTACATATAGAGGCGAAACATATTCAATACTAGTTATCAAAAACATTAACAAACATGGAGCTACATATAGAGGCGAAACATATTCAATACTAGTTATCAAAAACATTAACAAACATGGAGCTACATATAGAGGCGAAACATATTCAATACTAGTTATCAAAAACATTAACAAACATGGAGCTACATATAGAGGCGAAACATATTCAATACTAGTTATCAAAAACATTAACAAACATGGAGCTACATATAGAGGCGAAACATATTCAATACTAGTTATCAAAAACATTAACAAACATGGAGCTACATATAGAGGCGAAACATATTCAATACTAGTTATCAAAAACATTAACAAACATGGAGCTACATATAGAGGCGAAACATATTCAATACTAGTTATCAAAAACATTAACAAACATGGAGCTACATATAGAGGCGAAACATATTCAATACTAGTTATCAAAAACATTAACAAACATGGCCGCTACATATAGAGGCGAAACATATTCAATACTAGTTATCAAAAACATTAACAAACATGGAGCTACATATAGAGGCGAAACATATTCAATACTAGTTATCAAAAACATTAACAAACATGGACGCTACATATAGAGGCGAAACATATTCAATACTAGTTATCAAAAACATTAACAAACATGGAGCTACATATAGAGGCGAAACATATTCAATACTAGTTATCAAAAACATTAACAAACATGGACGCTACATATAGAGGCGAAACATATTCAATACTAGTTATCAAAAACATTAACAAACATGGAGCTACATATAGAGGC